AATTTTTAAAGGCAGGGACAGGGTTGGGGTTTATCTATTTATTTGGCCCCTTTCTCACCCTTTTTTAAATTTACCAAACAAGGGGAAAAAATTTTGGGGTTTTTTTTTGTCCCCCCTAAAGAATTTTTGTGTTTTTTACTAAAATTTTTGTTTAAAAAAAACCGTTTTGACCAAATATAATTTTTTGGAATTTTTTAGCTAACCCTCACCCAAAAATTTTTTTTTTTAAAAGGGGTTTGCAAAAAAAAAGGGGGTTAAGGGTTTAAATTTTTTTTTTTAAATGCTATTTAAAGTATAAAAAAAACAAAACAATTGGGGAATTTGCGTAGTGGGTGCGGGAAAGTTTTTTTTGGGGAACTTGTTTTTCTTTTCCCTGGTTTCCCCCCTTTCAGCTGGGGTTTTTTTTTTTTTTTGATTTTTTTTAAAAAAAAAACTTTTTTTTTTTTAAAAGCGCGGATGACAATGATACGGGTTGAGTCTTGAAGGCTCTTCTTATAAACAATTACATACAACAAACCTAATCCATTTTACTTCAGCCCTATAGAGTAAATCAATGCTAAACTGAATATATGAGCTTTGCGTTTTAAATGCTCCTGGGCACTTTGTACTTGACTTGTCAGGCTGGTGATCTGAAATCCTTACTGAGTGTTTGGGCTTTTATAGGCAGCTGTTTTAGAAACTACGTGGCCTGTTTTAGAAAGGGGCAAAATCAAAATGATGTTACTTTTTTTTTTCTATCATTTAAAATAGAACTAACGTATTTAAATTGTTAGCAGGTAGAATAGGCAGACTCTGTATGTCTCTTCTGCAAGAAAATCTCTGCCCTGTCTAACAATTTTTATTAATTGTACACTGACTGCCACACATGAGGTCATAGCTGGTAGCAGGCCAAGTGTGGTCGGTATACGGACAAGGGCAAACAAATAAAGATCTGGAAGAAGATAGCAGAGGTGGTTATGGTGAGCAATGGTGTGGAGCATGCACCTCACAAGGCTGGAGAGGGGCGCTCTAAACCAGCCATTTTCAACTAGGGTTCTTCCAAAGGTTGCTAAGGGGGTGATGGACCTCCCATCTAAAGGTGCCTGGATAGATCCATATCCAATGCCACTTGGCAGAGCCAGCAGCATGGCACCAATGATCTTTTTAGCTGTCACTAAGGGTGGTGTTGTGACTGAAAGGGAGGAACATACATTTCCTTTCATTCAGTGACCACCATTGTTAGAGGAATTTTTCCCAATGACCGCCAATTTAAGGAATACTTTTCCCACTGACCATGGTGTAAGGAACATTCTTCTCACTGTCCACCAATGTAAGGGAAATTCTTCCAACTGACCACCAATGTAAGGGACATTCTTCCAACTGACCACCAATGTAAAAAGCATTCTTCCCAATTATCACCAATGTAAGGGAATACCTTCCCATTGACCACCAAAATTAAGGGACATTTTTCCCACTGACCATCATTATAAGTGACATTCTTTTACTGTCCACCAATATAATGGGCATTCTACCCACTGACCATCTTTGTGAGGGACATTTTTCTCACTGACCACCATTGTAAGGGACATTCTTCTCACTGACCATTAGGGGCGGACTGACAACTCATGGGGCCCCCGTGTCCTTGCCCAAACTCAAAAAAAGCCTATGAAAAAGGTACCAGGGGCATCTCATGGGGCCCCCTACTGACCCCGGGCCCTTGGGCAGTGCCCGAGTTTCCAAATGGTCAGTCCTCCCTTGCTGACCACCATTGTAAGGGACATTATCTCACCAACCACCAATGTAAAGAGTATTCTTCCCAATTACCACTAATGTAAGGGAATACCTTCCCAATGACCACCAAAATTAAAAGGCATTTTTCCCACTGACCATCATTATAAGTGACATTCTTTTACTGTCCACCAATATAATGGGCATTCTACCCACTGACCATCTTTGTGAGGGACATTTTTCTCATTGACCACCATGTAAGGACATTCTTCTCACTGTCCACCAATGTAAGGGACATTCTTCCAAAATGTAAAAAGCATTCTTCTTATCACCAATGTAAGGGAATACCTTCCCCACCAATGTAAGGGGCATTTTTTCTCACTGACCACCATTGTAAGGGACATTCTTCTCACTGACCACATTGTAAGGGACATTATTCTCACCAACCACCAATGTAAAGAGTATTCTTCCCAATTACCACTAATGTAAGGGAATACCTTCCCATTGACCACAAAAATTAAGGGGCATTTTTCCCACTGACCATCATTATAAGTGACATTCTTTTACTGTCCACCAATATAATGGGCATTCTACCCACTGATCACCTTTATGAAGGACATTTTTCTCACTGACCACCATTGTAAGGGACATTCTTCCCACCGACCACCATTGTAAGAGAACTTCTCACTGACCACCAACGTAAACAGTATTCTTGCCAAGCAATCTTTCCACTGTCCGCCAATGTAAGGGACATTCTCCCCAATGACCACCAATGTAACGGCATTTCTTTCCACTTGACCACCAATTTTAGGAATTTTCGGACCACCAAAGTAAGGAGCATTCTTCCCCCAAGTCCCTTGATAAATTGATTTTACAGGGGTTTTCCTGAGACCTAAAAATTATTTCAAGGGTTCCTCTGGGGTACCAAGTTTGAGAGAGGCTGCTCTAGGTGGTATGTCTGCCATAATGTGCAAGTCGGCAGTAACCATAGCCATGGGACCCGAAGCATCACAGTTCTGCTTTAAACCCTGTAGCCTGTGTAGAAAACGAATTGGCTCTTGGATCTTAGTAGTATTTCACTACCTCTTGTTACCATCATGGTATGGCAGCAAAATTAATTTCCTTAATGTATAAACGGTTCACTTTAGGAACAATTATGAGACAGAAGTGGCACAATATACCATAGACTTTTTTCCAGGGTTTTATAATAAAACAACAAGCCCATTTTTCGCAACAGCTACCACCCTACACTAGATAAAAACTACAGGAAACAATTAGGAGCACCATATCAAAAGTTGGCGCATCATGAAGAGTTTATGTCGTCATAAAACGCTCAAAGGACAAGCCAACATGTTTCAGGGTTCTCGTGAACCCCCTTCCTCAGGGCATAAAGCTGCTGATAAGGCTTTGGAATTGGTTGCTTGAGCCTGGTCTTTTGATTTTTTTTTTTTTTTTTTAAAGAAATTTAATTGATTTATTGATATTTCTATAGTGCTCTCCTTCCTGAGGACTCTGAGTGCTTTATCTGCTGTTGGGGCAGAAAATGAGGTGGCTATATTTGGCACACTCAGTAGAATATTATACTAGGGCCAATTTCAGATCTGAGCCAATGAATCTATCAGCATGCCTTTGCATTGTGGAAGGAAGCCAGAGAGAGACCATGCAAGCACCAGGAGACCATGCATGCAAACGCCATGCAGATAGTCTCCTGGCTGAGATATGAACCGAAGATCTCAGTTTGCAAGTCAAAGGGCTGTCCACTAAGCTGCTCTGCTACTCATGTACCCATCTAAGCTGGAGACCATCCACACTCTTAATCTCTAATGAAGGAAGTCAGTCAGAATCCCTGAAGCATTGGTTTGTCCTTCAGGCATGATGAAATAAACTCTTTGTGGCCTCTCAACATTGGGTCTGGTACATCTGCTTTTACCTGTATCTTTTATGTTATGGAGGGGTGGTATGAGTGGTAAAGGATAAGATGGAGAAGGTGAAATAAAGGGACCCTGTCAGAGAAATATAATCTCTGAGTACAGAAAAGACTAAATACTTACTTCCCAATGCTGAGACATTGTCCTCGAAGTCTCCTGGGAAGATGACATTTCTTGAAGTATTGGTCTCTTTCAGGGGCGGACCGACCATTTGGAAACTCGGGCACTGCTCGAGGGCCCGGGTCAGTAGGGGGACCCATGAGATGTCCCTGGTACCTTTTTCATAGGCTTTTTGGAGTTTGGGCAAGGACACAGGGGCCCCATGATCCCCTATTGCCTGGGGGCCCCCTGAGTTGTCAGTCCGCCCCTGGTCTCTTTTATCTCCAACAGCTCTGATTGGTTCCTCCTGCTGTCCTCTACTATTCTCTCCTGCACCAATAAGGACATGGGCATGAGGAACCAATGAGGGCTGTTGGGTGTAAAAGAGATCTACAAACCCAGAAGTGCCAGTTTCCCAATAGATTTTGAGGATGATTTCTCAGCATTGGAGTGGCATTTCACAGAGCGGGCCCCATGACGGAGAATAATTTCGTATCTCCTCTTTACTTGTATGTGCTTTACTCAGAGATTTTACTTCTGTTACAAGGTTTCCTAAATGTTGTACTTTAGGACTTGTTTACATTGGAACCAGATGCAGGAAACCCACGATCCGTGCCCATTTCCCACACCATGTTCAAAACGCACTGGGACACATGGTACCGCAGTACCATGCGATCCAGTGCAGTGCATTTTGAAACGTAGTGCATGAACTACTTCTGGTGCAAGCCAGTGTGATTTCAGCCCATTCAAATGGAGAATGGGCTGAAAAATGCACAGCCCTGAATACCATAGGAATTTCGCAGAACGCAGACCGCGCTCCTGTGTGAACTGACTCATAACATTGGAATAGGCTTTAAATGCCACCTGAGGGTTATGGTAGCTCCTTTCACCTATCCTGGATCTGGTCTGGGCATCTCCCATCTGGCAGCTGCACATATGCAAAGGATTTGGATGCTCATTATGTCATTGACCCACTATGGTCACCTGCCGGACATGGGCAGTATTGATCACTTCCCTACCGCTCTATAGCAGAACTACTGCTACAGGGCGGCAGGGATGCGCAAACTCACACACACATATATGATTTTGCATTTGCGGGTAGCGGGCACGCACGCTGCCCTACCCACGCCGCCACTGGCGGCTACAGATGTCGATCACCGGGTCCCGGCCAGAGATTCCCCGCCGGCACCCAGCGATCGCTGGGTATCACTGACAGGAGAGAGGCCTGTATGTAAACAACACATCCTCTCCTGCCAGCAGTAACATGCTGCTGTGTATTTCTCTGCACTGCAACATGTCTCCCTAGTAAAACAGCACACAGTTAACCCTTTGATCCCCTCAGATATTAACCCCTTCTTGCCCAGTGTCATTAGTACAGTGTCAGTGCTTTTTATTAGCACTGATCACTGTATTAGTGTCACTGGGGATGTCAGTCCCCCCAGTGTCAGAATGGCCACCACAGTTCCGCTAAAAGATCTGGTCATGTACTAAAAAAAAAACCAGTCCCTTGTCAATCTGTTAATTTTTGTTTCATAAAAAGAGAAAACAGGAAAAATAAACAAATGCACACATTATTAAGTAAAAAAAAGTCCAAAAAAAAACTAAAATAAATTTAAAAATACCCTAAATACACAAAAAGCAACTCTCTCCAAATAGAGTGGATTATTTTTTTTCAAGCAAATTTCTCTTAAAGTGGTTGAAAAGGCTCACTGCATGAAGGTAAAAACTTTTTGTGTCTGCAGCAGCCCCCCTAATACTTACCTGAGCCTGATCCCGATCCAGCGGTGTGCAGAGGAGCCTCTTCTCTCCCTCCTCATTAGCTAAGACAGCAGCGGTAGCTATTGGTTCCTGCTACAGCCAATCACAGCCAGTGAGCCAATGAGGAGAGAGCAGGGGTGGTGCCTCAACTCTCCCTCCTCATTAGCTAAGACAGCAGCAGTAGCCACTGGATCCTGCTACTGCCAATGAGGAGAGAGCAGGGGTGGTGCCGAAATCGTGTGCCATATCTGAATGGACACACAGAGGAGCGCCTCTGGAGCACACCCGCTCGAGTGCCCCCAAAGCAAGCTGCTTGCTGTGGGGGCACTATGCAAGAGGGGGGCAGAAGTGCTGGTGGGGGACCCGAGAAGATGAGGATTGGGGCTGCTCTGTGCAAAACCTTTACACAGCGCAGGTGAGTATAGTATGTTTGTTATGAAAAAAAAAACAAAACAAACCTTTATTATGACTTTAAATGCAAAAAAAAAAAAGTAGATAATGATTTTTATGCAAATTTTCCTTTAATAAAAAATAGATTGATTTTTCAAGCACATTTCACTCACATATATAAAAAAAGGGAGTAGATCATGTTTTTAAAGCAAGCCTCAATTTAATAAAAAGTAGACCATGTTTTTCATGCAAATTTCCCTTTAAAAAAAAAAATTTTTCAAGAAAAATTTGCTTAATAAAAAAACAAACTTTTTTTTTCCCCCCCAATTACATAAATACATTTTTTTAAAAAAAGAGCAGATCGTGTTTTAGCCCGGGTTCACACTGATGCGGTGCAGAATGTGCAATGTTTTCTGTGCAAATTCTGCACCGCATCAGAATCGCACACCGTTCATGTGAACCGCTGCAGGTGTGTATGTTAACAACACCCTGA